AATTAATAGTTTCATTTTCTAACATTATAATATTTTGTTCCCCCCATTTGTATTTAGTTATTAATTATAATAATAACAATAACTAAAATTTTATACTTTTTGATAATTGTTAAATATAATTCTCAATTTTATAGAAATTAGTTAAAGAGTTTTCAATTTCTATAAAATGTTGTTAATGTAATTAATAACAATATTTATTAATTTTTGGTAATTTACTAACCTTATTTATTAACTTTTGGTAATAACACTATTTAATACTCATTGAATATGAGCGGGATTAAATATTAACCGTATTTAACTATTTATTAATTAATGTGAATATTTTAAATGAGGAAGAGTGGATATAGATTGGGGGGAATGCATTTTAGGAATTCATTAGGGAGTGGGGCAACATGATACTTCCCTATTGGTTTAAATGAGATACTTTAAGAGAGAGATTATAGGAATATTTTTAGGTAGTTGGGTGACATGGCTTAATGGGAGTGGTGGGAAGGGGAGAGGAGAGAAAGTCAAAGATAATGCAGGGTGGGGATAATGGAGCAAGGAGAGGCATGGTGACGGGGACCGTGCTTTGTTAAGCGAAAGTTAAAAAATAGAAATGCATAAGAGTATATAATTGTTTTATATTTGAACTTTTTAATAAACAATCCAATCAAACTCAACCCGAGTTAGTCGGTTTTCTAGTATTTCAGATTGGCTTTGGTTTAATAAATATATATTAATATTTTATATTTTAAATTTAATTTTTAATACGGGAAAGTAGGAAAATTCCCATATTTGTTAGTCTAAAATATTTTATATCATATATTTAATTTTAATAATATCATTGTAATTTATGAAATTTAAAGTTTTTTTTTTTAAAGTTTAAATCTTTTGAACAAACAAACTAAACCGAAAATAGACCCAAATCGATATAACCCGAGTTGGTGGGTTTTCGATAATGGTCAATCGGTTCCGAGTGACAAACTACAGTCTTGACCAGATCGATTTAATTGGCAAAATAGCCTGCAACTGAACTGAACCAATCATTGAACACTCATAATTTCAACTAAATTTATAGTCTAGTCTCTAATAAATAACAATAATTTAATATCCAATAATTATTGAAAATTTATAGAAAACATACACAATCATTAAAAATAAGTTTATAATGAAAATATAATAGATATATAATAAAAATACAATAATTACAAAAATATAATAAATACTGAAAATATACTAAATTAATCAATAATTAGTGTAATCTTAAATAATAGTTTAATCTCTAATAAGTATTAATCTATAAGTTATAAAAAATATATAATTACTAAAAATAAATTTATAACAAAAATATAATAAATTAAATTTCAAAAGTTAAATAATATTTTTTTAATCTCCAATAATTATTGATAATTTTCTATTAAATAACAAAATAAAGATACATTTAAAAATAATTATTGAAAGCATATTTATTAAAAACAATAAATAATTACTGAAAATAAAATAAATATTAATTATAATAAATATAAATATATAATGAATATACACTATTATTATAAAATTATTAATAATAAATATAATTTTGTTGATAGTTATTTGGGTAAATTTCTTAAACTACCCTTATGGTCTAGCTAATTGACTAAGTGTACCCTTACTCTACCCTTGTTGTTAACATTGTTAATGCTCCATCACACATGTGACCCCGTGTGACCTATACACTTTTTTCAAAACCCAATATTGCCCTCATACCTGAGCCCCCACTCTCTCTCTTCTAATACCTCCCCCTCCGCCTCTGTCTCTCTCTGGTCTCTCTCCATTCTCAACCTCTTGTCTCTCTTTCTCCCCTCTGCCCTCTGTTTTCGTTGGAAGAGGACTCATCGCCGCCGCCGGAGCGAGAAGGGGTGCCGCTAGTTCGCCGCTGTGTGCAGCTGCGTCTTCACTCTTCAGTGTTCGAAGAGGGGTGCCGCTGATTCGCCGATGTGTGCAGCTGCCAGCCTTCACAGGGGCTGACGAAGACAGCCTTCAAATGAATTCGTCCGACCACCAACGGTATTTCCTATACGTTAACGGCGGAACTGACGAAGCCTCCACTGCGACAGAAGAGAAGAAACCCGCCGTCTGTTCCAGCGGTTGTGGTCGTGGTGTTCCGAGTCTCTGGTTGTGTCGAGTAGACTCGGCGGGGCAGATGATGGAAGAGCTCCAACTCCAACTCCGATTCCAACTTCAACTTCGTCGCGTATGTAAATTTTCCTACTCTAAATTTTATGTGGACTACTTACCAAGTTACCATTTGAACAATATAATAGTTGTAGTAGTCGTAAAAATTCTCTCGGAAAAGTTAGAAGAAAGTAGAGAGAGAGAGAACATACCGGAGCAACGTTTCCCGCTACGCAATCCATCCTCACAAAAGCAGAAGAGGTCCGTTGTAGAATTGGAAGAGTAAGCACAATAGCCACCAGATTCCTTACACGCAACGCAATCTCCAATGTCTCCCCAATCTAACTCAAACCCCCTTTGCAAGGCCCCGGCAAACCCATCTGTCATACTGAAAACATTCATAATCGCTTCCTCCATAACCGTGGTAACCACTTTTGCCGCGCAGTCCCTATGCTAATCAAGCCCCTCCGGAATCTTGTCTGACTCGAAAACCAAGGACTAGTTACCGCCGGATGCAAGGCAGGATAAATTCATGTATTTAGTTGAGAGTAGAACTGAAGGGTAGTGAGTACTGAGATAAAGAAAAAAGTGGGTAGAGCAATCAAAGAAAAACGTCAGGTTTTTAGTGGAGTCACTGGAGCGTAATTGAGGTGCGCTGGTTAGGGTGACATTATGTTTTGCCTTTGGACATATTGCATTGCCGGTAAGTACATCGGCCTTGATCAGGGAGAGGGTAGTATTTGTTTCATAATGATGCCAGTGACGTTGTGGACTTGTAGGTATCAGAGGGCGCAAAAATGACAGGGATGTAAGTGCTGAAATCACTGAGTTCAGTCTTTCTTTCCACTTTTCTCTATTTTATTTTGAAAATTTGAAGAATAAAGGGTAAAATAGTCTTTTTTGCCTTCGGTTAATGGACATTAACGATAAGGGTAGAGTTAGTCAATTATCACAAACAGTAAGGGTAGTGTTAGTCAATTTTCAAACAGTAAAGGTACATTTAGTCAATTAGCTAAACCATAAGGGTAGTTTAAGAAATTTACCCTAGTTATTTTCTATAATTATTAATTGATATAAGTAAAATTAGTTATTTACAATATTATTTACTTATTTAAATAATATTGTTATTTAAGTTCTTAAAATATTAATTATTTATTGAATTTAATAATCCATATAATTATAATTGTACTATTATTACATAATTCGTTATTACTTTTGTAAAATATTAAATTACTATTAATATGAATATTATGAATTCTATTATAATTATTTTTCTACTTTTAAGATTTTTTTTAAATTTATTACATAATTTCGTTATTTTAACTATTTAAAATTTTGTCATGTTCAATATTTTGTTATTTAAATATTTAAATAATATRTAAAATATTTWAAAATTTTCATTATTTGAATTTTATTTATTTTAATGTTATTACGTAATATTAAATATTTTGTTATATTATTTAGCTATTTTTAATGTTTTTTATTTAAGATTTTTAATTATTGAGATATTTAAATAATGTCTTATTATTTGAATAACATTTAAATTGAATAATTCATAAAATTATAATTTTTATTGTTACTACATAATTTCATGATAGATTTTGTAAAAATATTGAATTATTAGTAATAAGAGTATTATTAAATCTATTAATTTTTTGTGTTTTGAATAAATATTTTAAATTTAGTATATAATTTGGTTATAACATTTAAATAGTTCTGATTTTTTTTAATTGAAACATTCTTTAGATAGATATAGATAAAAAGTGGGGGAGAGGATAAATAGGAATTAAAGATAGTTTAGGAGAGAATTTCTCTACTAAATTAGAGATAATTTAAGAGATAAATAGGAGTTAGATATAATTTAGAAGATAAATAAGAATTAGAGACAATTTAGGAGTAAGTGGGGGAAAGTGATGCCACTTACTTAAACATTAGAAAAGCTTTATGGTTGTTAGAAATAGTTAGGTATATGTGATTTTTTTATTGGTTTAATGAGTAATTATGTAAAATTAAAAAAATAAAAAAATTCAAAAAAATAAAAAATTAGGAAGGGGAATTTAAAGGAGAGTTATACTGACATGGCAGGACCAGTTTTAATATATATATATATAAATAATCAGTTCGAAACAAAATAAAAAATCAGATTCGACCGATAAATCAGAAACCGGGACAAAATCATAGTTTCAGAACCGATATAATGATATTGTTCGGTTCGATCTCTCGGATTGAACGGTTGAACCGACCCATTAACAGCCCTAGAGGGCGGACATTTCGAAGGCAGACAAGTAGACACTGGACAGACAACACGCTCGACTGTCTTTTACTTCACTACCAACTTCACATCTTTCTCCTCTTGTTCCATCAACCAACTCCATCTCATTGTTTGATCCGTAGATCTCTCTCACGCGTTGCATTTGTTCTTCTAAGCAAATCGATCTCTTTTCCATGGTGTCCGTAACCGTTTTCCGCTCATTTCACGGTAATCTCTCTCTCTCTCTCATGCTGTTTATGGTGGCATCATAAAAGGCCACTCGATATAACTATTTCTGCAATTTCTTATTTGTCTTCAGATTGAATGAACTCCAAATTACCACCTATCCAATTTCCTTTTTATCTTATTGATTTAACTCCACGTTCCTCACTTATGCTGTAGAAATTAGATCTATTTGTGGGGATCTAACTTGATCTCATCGTCTTGCGCGTTGCACTAAGCTATACTAAACCTAATTAATATTGAAGAATGTTGTTCTACTTCTAAGTAAATGCTTTTTCTATTTCTCCTCTCTTCATGATTTCTCTGTATGCCGCGAGATGATTGCGTCACCTCTCACTTGATACACTTCGAATCTACATGGTTTTTTTTGTTTCCTTCTTTTTCGCGAGCTCCTATATATATTATGAGGACGAACTTACTCAACTGCTCATTCGTAACATAGAAGATGTTCAAACTTCAAAGCCAAGTCCAGCTGAAAAGAAAATAAAACAGAATTTTGCTTCATATTAAAATGTATGAGTAAATCCTAAAATTGATTTCTTTTCGGGGTGTAGCAAGGCTTCATGTGTGAACTCTCTTACGGGAAGCGCGGCCTTTTCCCCCCGAGCTAAACGAACCTTGAAATGAATAACTCAGAGGTCCAACATTTTACATGTTCTATAAACCGGGGTTATCGAAATAACATTGTTCTCCTTAGGTGGTAGTTCTTCATTATGTTTCACACCTACGGTTCTAGTAGGTATCAAGTCTTCAGGATCATAACATTCAGGAGCATTTTGAAATGCAAATCCATATCTTCCATGTTTTTGACAGAAAAATAGCTCGCAATAGAGTACAATGGCTGTGTGTAGCTGGCCCCAAATAGTTGTGGTTAAGGGTGAATCATGTTGAGTAGCGCTGATCTGATCTTGATTTCTTTAGTGCCTTGTTTAAAATGAACCTTCCACTGGAGTTGAGGATCTTTCAGCTTGTAAACATGGTGAAACAGATTTTATTATATTTTACTAAAATTTTCATTCTATAAATTTTGGAATTGATGGATCCTATTTCTGTTCTCTAGTCAATGTGTGATGTATAAATAGTAAATTTCTTCTGTTCTCCTATTTATGTTTTCTTTTTCAAAGATCTATAAGGAAGCTTGCATTTTTGTCTTGCTTGGTAGAAAGGTTCTTCAATGAGTGTTGGTACTGTTGTATGAGCCAGCTATGTATTTAGGTCATAACATACATAAATATGCTATATGCACACATACACACACACAACTAAAAAAGCCTTATCCCAACTATACAGAGTTGGTTACATGAATCATCTTGCACTGTTCCAGTCTATCAAGGGCCTTCACCATTGTTAAATTATGAGCCCTAAAATCATTTATTACTACTTCCATCCATGTCATTTTGGTCTATCTCTACTTTTAGACCCCCCAACTTGCAAAGCAAAACTTCTTACCTCTCTCTCTCTCTCTCTACCAACACACATAATATATGTATGCATTTATGTTTATGTGCCATCTGTATGTAGCATGTATCAAATTCATCTTCAACTGAACCTTGTATGTAACTTCTGAATACCAGGTGCCATTGATAGCATTACCCACCTGCAATCCTTATCTGAGAGGCCTGGGGCAGTTCCTATTTACAATGCCAATGCAAAGAAATTATCATTCGCCCAGGGCTTGGCCCTAGGTTCAAGGATCACTTCAGCCAATGAAAAACGGGCTTTTGTACCATGTCTTAAAGCCTCGGAAAGTACAACAGAAATCACATCTGTTGGTGAGTTTTGTTTCTATTCCCAATCAGTCAATGATTTCATTTCTCTTCCTGCCAAGGACTGCTGTTAGGTGCACTCTTAAATCAGTAACCTTTGGTTTTTTTATTCATCAACTACCCGGAAAATTTTACTGGTTCATTTGATTGCTAAAGATTGTGTGATATAATGCCATTCCTAGGAGAACTAGTCATTTACTTTATTGGTCATTTTCTCTTGTTCTTAGAATTTAGGACTTCACATTATAAAAATGTTATCACTGTTTATTTCTTGCAAGAAGATTGGAGTGCATATGCATTATATATGCTAGATATTGACAATAGAACTAGAATTTTATGTGCTTGGTTGCATCTATAATGCTTCATTATTATTGCTTATTATGTCTTGGGGTCATGATAGCATCCTATTAAGAGAGCAGGTGTACTAGGATAATGTAGGTCAGGAAGGAGAAAAGCACTAGGATATATGTTGTGGGTAAGAAAGAACTCAGATCCAATATAGGCTATAGGGATGATACAAGGAAAAACGGAAGTGATTGAGATCCCAGATAGAAGAAGATAGAAAGGAGAAAGAGAAGAAAGAAGAGATTACAACTTTAGAGATAAATGGATAGAGATTATCAAATCAACTTTTAATTTTCAACAAAGAATCTTAAGTAGGAATCTTGCCAGAGATAGAAACATATCTAATGATGAAAAAGACAAATCTCTCTATAACCCATATGGACACTTAAATATAGACTTTAACTGCTAAAGTAGCATTAAAAACCTACTACTAATTACAAAAACTAAACAAACAAAAACAACTCCAAGAGAGACCAAGAAAACATAAGGGATCAAATTCAATTAAGACTTGAACTTATCAGTGTAATGACTATAATTTTCTAAGCATGTCAGATTTGTAAGATCTTGGTCTCATTGGATGTAACCTGTCTAATGACACCAAAATCACATAAATTTTGACCCTTTCAAGATAAACAGACAAGCTTTGAAAAATAGGCTGAAAGTTATATGGTTAGAATCTAAACTTTCAAAATTATAATAAATCTCTAATAAGCCTTGAGTATCCCCCATATCAAATATCAAATCCCCAACAAAATGTATACTGCTTGTATCAGTGCAGTTGTGCAGACCAATCTGAGGGCCGTTTAAGCTCAATGTTGATGCGTCAGCATTTTGACAACCTGAGAAGTAGAGGTGGAAGAGGGCATATTATAGGATTGGAACAACAAACTAATTTATGCATTTCGCAGGGGATATGACTCAGGATTCAGGAAGAAAAGGTGAAGGGCAAAAGCAGCAGACCATGGCATGTCATGAACCAGATCAAAAGGATATGAGAAGTTCTTGGTGGCATCACCTACAATGTAAAACACATCCATTGGGATTGGGAGGGCAATGAGTTAGCAGACGGGCTAGCCAAGAGTGATGCAACATACCAGAAGAACATCACATATTACAGTGCTGGGCAACTTCCACATACCCTATGGGGATGTAAACAAATGAATGCAGTTCAAAATAACTGCAATCCTATAAATTAGGAGGGAAGGCATGCGAATTATGTATATAGGAGTTGTGAGGGCAGGTCTAACCCCTCACTTAGGTTGTACTCCCAGTTTTCATTTAATGGAACACCAAAGATCCAGCTAAGAGAGGGCTAAGACAGGGATACCCTATCTCCCTTTTTTTGTTCACTTTGGTAGCTGATGTGCTGAGTAGGCTAATTAGTAGGACAGATAGGCTAAATCTGGTTAGAGGGTGGAAATTGGGACACCAAGAGGTGGTAACACAACTACAATTTGCTGATGGTACAATTTTGAGTGTATGTCTAGCTTTAGGATCAACTTGGGGAAGAGTTGTTTTACAGGGATTAATTTGGCTGGGGTGGAAGTGAGATTAATTGACTGTTCTCTTAGGTATGAGTACAAAGAGTGGTTGTTGTCTTATTTGGGTCTTCCTTTGGGGAGTAATCCTAGAGCCGATGATTTTTGGAAACTTGTGTCAGAAATATTTTCCAAAAAACTGGTGATGTAGAAGAGGAATTATTCTACCTAGGAGGGAGAATTACCTTGATCAGGTCCACTATGGCTAATGTGCCTATATATTTCCTCTCCACCTTTCACATTCCAATTAAGATAGTAAGGAAAATTGAAAAATCATGAGACATTTTATGCGAACTAGGGGATTTGAAAAATAACCACGTAGTGAAGTGGGAGATAGTGTGTAGAAGTAGGGATCAAGGTGGACTTGGTTTAGGGAATTTAATCCTAAAGAGCATTGCTTTGTTGGGTAAGTGGTTGTGGAGATTTCCTTTGAAATAGGATAGGTTGTGGCACAAGGTAATTGTGAGCACTCATAACTCAATTGGAAACAGTTGGCACTCAAAGGTCCCGCCTAGGGTGTTGCTTGCTTCTCTTTGGAAATCAGTTCATAGCATTATTTCATTCTTCTTAAGCCATTATCAGGTATGATATTGGGTATGGCAGTAAATCTTTGTTCTGGGAAGATCTTTGGCCTGGGGTTCCCCCAATATGCTTTGATTTCCTTTTCTGTAATCCATTTCTTCTTATAAGTAGGAAGCGATAGCCAAATTCTAGGTGAGCTCTTCTCCTGGGGAGTTTGGGACTTGGAGTTCAGAAGGGGTCTTAGGGAGGGAGAATTCGAATAATTGATGGTTTGCTTTCCATGTTGGAGTTGGTTCAGTTGGTTCAGTTGTGGTATGATAATTGGACATGGTTACCTTCCTTCTCTAGCTTATTCTATTGTGTGATAATCGGTTTTGGCTTCTTTCCTTCTGAAAGAGGTGGGTGTAACCTTGTTGCCCCTAAAATTAAGGCCTTTTTTTGTTGGGAAGTGGCTCTTGGGACGATTAACACTTGTGATGTGCTCTAGAAAAGAAGGCCCTATGGTTGTTTCTTGCCCCACATTTGTGTTTTGTGCTAAGGTAGTGGTGAGACCATTCCCCATTTACTAATCTAGGTGGGTGTAACCTTTGCTCCCTAAAATTAAGGTTTTTTTGTTGGGAAGTGGTTCTCAGGAAGATTAACATTTGTGATATGCTCCAGAAAAGAAGGCCCTATAGTTGTCTCACACCCCACATCTCTCTTTTGTGCAAAGCTAGTTGTGAGATCATTCCCCATTTACTAACATCTTGCTTATTTGTTTCTCATGTTTGGGAGCATTTTTGTTCTCTTTGATTGCAGGTAGGATCCCCCTCAATATATGGTGGGATTTTTCAGCCTTGAGTTTATGCACCAACCAAAAAGAAGAGGTAAAATGATGTAGAGAGCCACAAGAGCTGCTATCTCATGGATGATTTGGGAGGAAAGGAATTCCAAGCTGTTCATGGAGCAAAGTAAATATTTGGAGGTTACCATTGAAAGTATCACTTTGAAGGTAATCCACTAGGTGAAAACTATGGAACTTTTCAAAAGTTTTTAGAAGATCACATGGTTAGAGGGTGGGGAGTGGTGACAGCCTCATCTACCATGAAGCCAATATGCCAAGTACAGTGGGTTCCTTGAATTTTGATGGAAGTTCATGTGGTGGTGATCCAGGGCCCTCAGGCATTGGGGGTGTTTTTAGGGATGGAAATGGGTTAATAGTAGTTCTCTATTCAGGCCCAATAGGGTTAGGAGACTCCCTTACAGCTGAAATTTCTGCTGTTCTGGTCTAAAGCTAGCTAAACATCTTAATTTAAGGCAGCTGGAGATCGAAGGTGACTCTATGTTGGTGGTGGGTTGGTTGAAAAGCAACAGTAAAGGGGGATGGTTATATAAACAAATATTGAAAGAAATTGGAAAGCTTGCAAGTGAGTTAGAGGCCTATTCAGTTGGGTCAAATGGTTTGGCAGATGCTCTCGCCAAGCAAGGGGTATATAGGGATCAATTGTATTAGGCTACAATGATGACTAGTTGAGGATGGGACCGGCTCATTGGGTGCTAGTAGTTGTATCTCTTAAAAAAAGGGAAAAAAGATTTTTTAAACTATTGTGACACTTTAAGATCACAATCCCATTTCTAAGAAATTAGCACATCAGAATGCAACTATTAAAAAACTCAATTTGACAAAAAAAAAAGAAAAAAAAACAAATCAGATCACCCAAAAATAAAAAAAAAGCCCTTGGTGCTGGATATATAGAGAAACTTATGGTTTCTTTCCTTGCTTCCATGTCTGCATTAGTTTTCTTTTCATAAGGAGGATTCCAGCATGACCTTTTATCCTTTATCTTTTTCTTTTTCTCCTGAAAGTAGGTAAAAGTACAGCTTCTTAAGTGACCTTAATGGAAGTAATTAACTAATTATCTTGTTTATAAAGAAAGCTAACTTGAGTCATTTGCTAGAAATGTAGAGTGCTTCTTATCTCTACATTTTGTAAAAGTTCATTTGACTTGGCAGGAATTAGCCGGTGGTAGCTCATACAACTTCCACCAGAATTAGACTAAGGATTCCTTGGAAACCACCTGAATTTCCTTGAACAAAGATGAATTTTGATGGATGCAACCTTGGTAACCCTGGGAATTCAGGAATAGGGGGTCTGTTCAGACAAGCAGATGGTTATATGATGGCTTTGTATTTGGGGCCAATTGGGTTTGGGAGCTCAACAAGAACTGAACTGATAGCAGTATTACATGGACTGAAATTGGAGAAGACCTTCCAAACCAATACAGAAACATAATTGTAGAGGGAGACTCCAGAGTGATTTTGGGCTGAATAGGAAGGAGATAATACACAAGGAACATGGACGTATATATATGTATTGAGGGAAATCAGTAAGTTGGCAGCAGAAATGTTGCAAACAGCATGGCTGATTCTTTATCTAGGCAAGGGATTAATAGGTCTTAGATGGGAGAATCCCGGGGATCCTTTGTATAAATTTACTTGGATGTAGGAAGTTTGCCAAGTTACATTTCTTCTTTTAACTTGTACATATTATTCATATTATTTAATAAAATTTTGATTGTTACTGATCAAATAAAAGTTCATTTGACTTTAGAGAGAGAATATAGTTTGAACTTTCATGGGGATGGATCCCTGAACTGAATGGTGTTTTTCATGATTTTTATTTAATATCTGATCTTGAATTCCTGCCAAATAGTAATCACTTGCTAGTGCAAGTGAGTGAATGTAAAAATAATTATTGATTGGGAAGTGTATTAAATATTCACCGTAAACAGTAAATTGATCTGAAAGTTCATTTACTTGATTAACTCTATAAGTGTAATGGTATAATATGAGGGATTCTCTGGTTTCTAGTGTGCAATACAATTATGCATTCATGTTAGATAGTATTTGGTAGTAATCCTTCTTGTCCTTGAGGAAGAGGTTTTCTTCCATCAAATTTTCTCAAGATGCATATTAGTTGGTTCAGTCTTGAATGATATTGGTTCTGTTCCTGTCCATTTAGTTACCATGTTCATGAAGACAGGATGTTCCAAGATTAGATGCAAATATTATTTTCCCTAGAATTTTAGTAGACTATGCTTTCTGAAACTTTGAAGACTAATGCAACAGTTTATTTAGATGGCAAATCGCAAGAGCCATTGGAAAAGAGAAGTTTGCAGAGTACAACCTTCCCTAATGGATTTGAGGTGAGTTTACTGTTTAGAACATAATTAGATTCCTAGGATTTTTTTTTTTTGATAAATGAATGAATTTTATTAAGCACCAAAGATAAGGAGTACAAGCATCCCTAGGAGAGGCACAAGATGCGACCTCTCCAGAAAGGTTAGATACAGCTTTCTGGACTTGTTAGAACAAGTTACAAACTAGCCCCCCCAAAAAACCTTCCTTGGATACCCCTTGCATGGCCAAGGAATCAGCCACAGTATTTGCTGACCTGCTTACCCATTTAACATCAACTCTCATATTGCTGGTTAGCCACTTCACTTTTTTGAGGTCCCTGTAGCCCCAAATAGCAGTATCCGGGTTTGACAACCATCCTACTACCACTTGAGAATTGTAGTGAAAATGGGCCGAATGGGCCCTAGTGTTCTTTATTTCTTTTAAGTAGTGTTTAAAAGTTATGTTTCTTAGTTATGGTCCTTATGGGCCTTCTATTGTTTTTTTTTAATTATCTCTTTAGCACTGGCCACCCCATTAAGGGCATCCAATTAATTGTACTCAAACTTAGAATTATTAATAAAAGTGATGAAATGGAGCTAGAGAGAGAGGTTTGAATTCTTCTTTTCTCTCTTCCCTTCTTTTCTTCTTCCACAAACCTATTGCTGAAACTTCTTTTCTTCTTCTTTCTCTCTTTTCTTCTTTTCTTGCATTGTCTGAATTACTGTAGGTGTAATTTTCAACTTGGTATTAGAGTGAGTTCTCACTTTTGACTTTTTTCTCATTTCTTTGCCCATACATAGTGTGTATGGAGAACTGATCGGTTGAAAATCAACTACATGGTAGTGAGATTGGAAAACTTGGTGCTAAACCTTCTTATCGAGATTGGAAAATTTGGTGCTAAMCCTGCCTCTACCCCTATTCATGTGAACCATAAACTCTCAGCTAATGATGGAGAACTTTTAACTGATAGTAGGAGTGGGTTCGAGCTGAGCCAAGCCGGATACTTGGCTATTCGAGCTCGGCTTGTTGAAACTGTGTTAGGCTTGAGCTCGATTCGAGCTAGAAACTTGAGCTTGAGCTCGGCTCAGTTCAAAGCTTGCAAGTTCGAGCTTGGCTCGGCTCGAGTTCGATTGCAAGCCAATTTTTTTCTAAAAAATAAAAAATATACATATAAAAACATTTTTTTTATTTTACCTACAAAAAATTAAGAATTATAAAAATTATTTATTATTATACATATAAAAAATAAAAAATATACATATAAAAATGTTTTTATTTTACATACAAAAAAATAAGAATTATAAAAATTATTTATACATAAAAAATATAAATATTATATATAAAATATTATTATATAAAGTAAAAATTATTTATTATATATTTATATGTATATGTATGTATGTATATAATAAAAAAAATTATTTATTATACTAGGCTTGCGAGCCTCACGAGCCAAGCTTCACTAGGTTCGAGCTCGGCTCGATTAGCAAACAAGCCTTTATATCAGGCTCAAGCTCGGTTTAAACCGAGCCGAGCCGAGCTTTTCACGAGTCGAGCTCGAATAGCTCGTAAGAAGCTCGGCTTGTGGCCACCCCTAGCTAACAGGGGAGTATTTCAGAGATTACTGGGGAAACTTCTTTATCTATGTATGACTCATCTAGACATTTCATATGTTGTGAGTGCCATCAACTAGTTCATGCATGCTCCTAGAGACACACATATGGCTGTTGCTAGGGGTGGCCATGAGCTACTCGAAGCTCGGTTTGTAAGGCTTGCGAGTTGACTCAAATAGCTACATACATACATACATATAAAATTATAGAAAATAATATATATATAGTAAAATATAATATTTTTATTTATATATATAATAATAACTGATTATTATAATTAATTTTTAAATATCAAATAAATATATATTTATTTTTATAAAACATTTTTCTTAAGTCGAGCTCGAGCTTACGAGCTTTTGACTCGAATCGAGCTCGAGCTCAAGGTTCTAGCTCGAACAAAGCTCGAGCCTTGTACTACCTTGGCGAGCCGAGCTCGAATAGCTAGCTATTCGGCTAGGCTCGACTCGAATCCACCCCTAGCTGTTGTAGAAAGGGTGTTGTGCTACCTTAAGGAAACCTTGGGAAGGGTATATTATTTGCTAAACATGGACACATGGAGGTAGAAGCATATACAAATGCTGATTGGGCAGGAAATGTGGATGACAAGAGATCCACATCAGGATATTGTGTTATGGTAGCTGGAAATATTGTTTCCTAGAGAAGCAAAAAGCAGTCAGTGGTTGCTAGATCTTCAGCTGATGCAAAGTATAGAGCTATGGCCCATAGTGTTTCTGAGTTGTTATGGCTTAGATCTCTCCTTAATGAGATGGGTGTTTCATGTGRCGAGCCACTRATGTTGTATTGTGATAACCAAGCTACTATTAACATTGCTCACAACCCAGTTCAGCATGATAGAACTAAGCACATTGAGGTAGACAAACACTTTATACAGGAGAGAGTGGCTTCAGGAGAGGTGTGCCTACCTTTCATTGCATCAGAAGAGCAACTAGCAGATTTTCTAACTAAGGGAGTCCCAAAGGCAAAGCTTCAACATCATGTAAGCAAGTTGGGCATGATTGACATCTATGCTCAGCTTGAGGGGGAGTGTAGTGAGAATCGGCCGAATGGGCCCTAGTGTTCTTTATTTCTTTTAAGTAGTGTTTAAAAGTTATGTTTCTTAGTTATTGGGCCTTCTTTTATTTTCTTTAATTATCTCTTTAGTGCTGGCTGCCCCATTAAGGGCATCCAAGTAATTGTACTTAGAATTAGAATTATTAATAAAAGTGATGAAAGGGGGCTAGAGAGAGAGGTTCAAATTCTTCTTTTTTCTCTTCCCTTCTTTTCTTCTTCCACAACCTATTGCTGAAACTTCTTTTCTTCTTCTTTCTCTCTTTTCTTCTTTTCTAGCATTATCTGAATTACTGTAGGTGTAATTTTCAACTAGAATCTCCTTCAATTAAAAGATGTTCCACCCCAAGTTGGTTGGCAAGCTGGATCTCTTGAACAATAGCTAGTAACTCAGCTCTTGTGGAGTCTTAAACTCCCACCAGTCCTAAGAATAAGGAAATAATGTTGCTGTCCTTATTCCTTAGCACACCCCCTACACCTGAAGGCCCAGGATTACCTTGGATGCTCCCATCAAAGTTCAATTTAATGACACCTTCTAGAGGAGGTTTCCACTCTACCACCCTTCTATTCTTCCTAGTAGAGGTATTAGCCACTTCTAGCCAATTCCTCCAAAGATCATCGAAGGAGAATTCAGAAAATAGGGCCAATGTCTTCAGCCAATGGATTACTCTAGTTAAGATACAGTCCTTCACTTCAACAAAACTTCTTTCATTCTCTAGGAAGGTTCTAGCATTCCTTTCCTCCCAAACAGTCCATAATATAGCTGTCCTAATACATTTCTACATGATTTTACCTCTTTTTGTGCGCCACCCAAAAGTAGATGATTAAACATCATGCTTACATCAGACAGCGGGTTCCACCTACATCCAAATAATCTAAAGCTCCAACTCCATAAGGCTGTAACAAAGGAGCAAGAGATCAGTAGATGGTAACAGTTCTCATTCCGGTCCTTACACATGAAGCACCGATAAGGTTTCTTCTTTTGCAAGTTTTCCAAAGTGTTGATTTTCCCATGGAATACTTCCCTGCAAAAAACAACAAATGTGGGGGGAATTGGTCTTATCCAAACTTCTTTAATTGGGAACACTTTGGGGTTAGGGTTGGTAGTGAGGGATTTTAGAAAGGAAGCACAAGTAAAGGTCTCTTTTGGAAGAGGGGCCCAAACTCTTTGATCAGATTTAGTGGGGTCCAAACAAACCAACTCAAGTAACTGAAGCAACTCAGAAATACCAATTAATTAGCATCCCTTAATCCCCTACAAAAACCAAAGTCCCAATTTAAAGACAAGGGAAGTATCGGACTTGGGAGAAACTTTGAAATAGGCTCATTTTTGTAAAGGGAGAGAGAATAGAGAGAGGGAAAAAGATCCTTGAGGGGTTGGCTATCCACCCAAACATCCTCCCAGAGCCGAATAGAAGTACTAGAGCAAGCTTCATACCTGATAAACCTAAGGAAGCAATGGAGAATACCATGTATAGTCTTCCAAGGAGTTTTGAGAGTAGCCAGACGAGATATCCCGGCATCCCAACCATTCTCTAAGCAACCATGAATGCTTAACACCACCTCATGCCATAATCTCTCCCTCTCCAGAGGTCATCTCCATATCCACTTTCATAATAGAGCTTCATTCTTCTGAACTATGTCTCCTAACCCCAAACCTCCTTCTTCCTTACTTTTATTGACTATCTCCCATCTGATTAGATGATCTTTCTTCACTTCTCCTGGTTCCCACAAGAAATCCTTCATTACCTTTTCCAATTTCTTAGCCTCCCTTGGGGGAATCCTAAAGAATGAAAGGAAGTAGGTTGGAAGGCTGACAAGTGTTAACCTAATTAAAGTCACTCTACCCCTTATAGAGATGTAATTCTTTTTCTAGGCCGCCAACTATTTCCCAAATTTCTCCACAATAGGGGACCAAAAGCGACTCTCTTTAGGATTTGCACCTAAGGGAAGTCCTAAGTAGGTCAAAGGGCAAGATGAGGTTGCACAACCTAAGTGAGCTGCAATGGACTCTACCTCCCCATCCTCCAAATTTATTCCAGCAACTCAACTTTTTTTAAGGTTTATCATCAAATTAGAGGCAATCTCAAAGACTCTTATTAGATTCTTAAGATTGTCCACCTTTCCTAGATCACTCCCCTCACCAAAGATAATAATATTGTCTGCAAACTGAAGGTGGGTCACCAGAACACTTCTCCTTCCTAGTCTCCAACCCCTAATTATCTCTTGCTCATTTGCTTTTGAGACCAATCTACTAAATGCATCAGCAACAAGTGTGAAGAAGAAGGGAGAGTGTGGGTCACCTTGTCTTAGGCCTCTATTGGCTGGGAAGTATATACAAATGTACGCACTCATTTTGTAGGAGGAATGCTAATCTTATGGGTAGGTATAGAAACTATACCCTTACGAGTCTCAATATCCTGCTTTATCCCTGTTATTGTAAAGGATATTTGTGTCTTTTCATATGGTTTTGATGAGGATGCTTTGCTAATTAGCCTGTTCTTATATGCATACACGCACAAAGGGGGGGGGGGGTTATGGTATTCTTAAATAGCTCTCTTTTAGGCCTGTTAATGATACCCAAAAATCCGTGGCCCGATCTGATCATCTCGGATTTGGATGATGTGTTTATGTAATTCGATTGGATGCCGGATTTTGCAATCTGCATCTAATTAATAATCAGATCAGATTCAGAATTGTCTCTATCCAATCTGATTATATTATAATATTTATTGATTTTAATATAAATTTTATATTATTATATTGAAAATTATAAAAATATATTTTTCTATATTATAGTACATATGAATTTATATATGATAAATTTAGTTTATTGTATTTACATTAATTTATTATATATAAAAGTCGAAAAGAATTATCTTTTGATTTTTTTTGTAATTTAAAAAAATTAAAATGGATTCGGATTAAATCCGAATCCAATACAAGTTCGTTAGGATTTGAATTCGAATATGAGGTCTTCAAATCCGATCAAATTTTGGATCGGATTCAGATGCAAGCTCTCTCTCTCTCTCTCTCTCTCTGCTTTTCTATTTTACCCAACCTTTCTGTTAGGAATTTTCTGGAAAGCTTTATGAAATAATTTGAGGATATCAATGGTTTTGATTCTCAATGTAAGAAATAAATGCCTTTTCTTCATAGTTTATCTATTTTTACTTTTTCCCTTCCTCACAATCCTATTTCTTTCATGCATTTCAGGCATTGGTCCTCGAAGTCTGTGACGAGACAAATGTTGCAGAATTAAAACTTAAGGTAGGATTTTGCACATCAGTTCCTTGAATGTTTGCTTCTCATTCCACAAGTATATTTTGGTTTCTTAACAAATGCTTCAGTTTAATGTGTTCAAATATCAGATTGTGATGACTACTTTAATAGTTGACTGGGAACTGCCAACTTATGTAATTTTAGAGAAGCTAAAGCCCAACTTATAAAAATTTATACGAAACTAATCAATGCCTTGGAGTTTTCACCTGCATAGGTCATGCCGCCATGTGGTGCCTAGGCAAGAGATCGAGGCTGGATTACAGAAAAATAATTTGGGTAGTCCAGGTCCTTCAGGTATAGGGTGTGTATTCAGAGATGGAGAAGGCAGAATACTTGCTATATACTCGGGCCTAATAGGAGTGGGAGACTCTTTGAGAGTGGAGGTCATGGATTTGCTTCAAGGGGTAAGATTCGGCAAACAGTTTGGGCTACACCAAATTGAAATAGAAGGGGATTCCAAATTGGTAATTGGATGGCTGCAATCAGGATGTTTGAGAGCCTGGATAGATAGACAGCTCATAAGGGAAATATACAGTTTAACAAAGGAGGTGGGTGCTTGCTTTAAGTGGATAAGAAGATCAGCTAATGGACTAGCAGATACTTTAGCAAAACAGGGGGCAGTTAGGGAGGACATGTTTTGGGCAGCTTTGTATTCATCTTGTATTGGTTCAACACCCTATACTAGGGGTTGATGTCTCTATTTTAAAAATCTCATTAATGAAGTTACCGTTTCCAATAAAAAATAATAATTTGGATAAAAGTAAAGAATAATATTTAGAAGAGGGAAAAGAGGGAGAAGATGAACCTGTTAATTTATTTAACCAAGGCATGCTCTAGCAGCACTACGCCATCTTTCAAAAGTAGCACAATGTTCATGGATTTTTTTGGAGCCTTTGGATAACTATAGGAATTTAAATATTTTAAAAGTGCTTATGTTATAAATATCTAAAAGTGTCCATGTTGTGTATGGTAAGCATCATATACATGTGTGTCTATTGCATGTCTGCCTAGCACCAAATAGAGCAAAGACATGTTTCCAAATACTGGTAATAAATGGAAAAGGAGATTAGTAAGTGGATAGAAAACTGAGGTACTTGTACACATGAAATAACTACTGCATGGAAGTTGTGTGGGATATGTAGGAACACACTCTAGGGGGATCCAGCACTATATATTGGCTATCCTAGGAGATCCACCAACTAAGCTTGTTTGTAGATTGGTGCAATTGAACATGTTAATGGCATGTCTTCTATAGTAGAACCTGGTCTGGATATTGATAAAAGTAATTCAGCTTTCCTCGTTTAGCAACGTAAAGCAAAGCACTGGTTCTTGTTTCCAGATTGGACATACATTTTTATTTGTATTTTTAGTCTTTTAACATATGAAGTTCCATCAATTGTTCTCATGTAATGCAGAATTTTTTTTTTTTAAAATTTTTACTTTTTGACAGGTTGGAGACTTTGAGATGCATCTGAAGCGAAATATTGACACAACAAAACATACAACACCTATTATTTCTCCAACACCCCCACATCTTTCAAGTGAACCGATGGTCAAAGCAACTCCTGTTGCCCCACCATCATCATCACCAAAATCATCTTCTGAAACTGCCAGTCCATTTAAAAATAAATCTAGCACAAAGTCATCAAAATTAGCAGCCTTGGAAGCTTCTGGAGCAAATTCTTATGTTCTAGTATCGTCTCCAAAGGTATGGCCTGGTCTTTGAAAACTTAAGGACTCTTTTATTGAAATTAATCAAGACATTTTTCTTTTGAAAATTATGTCATTCAATAGCCCCTGTGTTCTTTTGTGTTAGGTCGGGTCATTCCGACGGGGAAAAACAGTGAAGGGGAAAAAGCAGCCTCCTATTTGTAAAGAGGTGACTTAATGCCTATGTTCAATTTTTCATGGTTATCATGTCTGATTAGTACTCACTCTAGTACATCTTTAACAAACACAAAGGCTTATTCTTATCTTTGGTCGTATTTCCTTTTCCTCTCAACTGTTTTATTTTTTGCTCCGCCCAAGTTCAGTCCAATGGAGAGATTACTCATATGCAATAAAGTAAGAATCACAAAGAGCAAGGACAACTTACAGATTGCATAGTAGCATATTAGGGTGCTTCCTGATGAGTGCAACCATATTAAAACTGGTCCATTTACAGGACCTAAATGCTTATGTGGCATTGCTCAAGTTTGAAAATGTCACTTTAGATGTTAAAGAAAATCTATTAGTTAAAAAATAGATTTTATTAACCTTGAAGTTAATTACTTAAAGGATTTTATCAAATTAGAGTCATTAAAATAACAACAGTTAATTTAATAGTAAATAATTAACAATAATTAAGAGTAAATTATTACTTAAACACTAACTTAATTAGCTTAACTAATAGTAAATTAACAATCACTTAATTTACTTAATTAACTTAGTAACTTAATTTGCTTAACTTATTTTTTGTAATTGTTTTGTTTACTTAATTTACTTATTTATCTTAATTAGTTTGATTATTTAATTACTCTATTTACTTAGATTAATTTACTTAATTGAATTAATCAAATAGTTAATTCACTGAGTTGACTTAATTTACTTATTTAGTTTAATACTTTAATTAGCTTAATTTCTTTAATTGCTTTATTTATTTGGCTTAATTTACTTAATCAATTAGTTAATTCACTTAATTACATGGTTTTAGAATCGTCGTTGACCTAGGCGGTCGAACCATTCGACCCAGGAACCGGTCAAGTGTCTATTCCATTTTATACATGTCCTAGAATTTTCCAAAAAGAAACGTTGACTTGGTCAACAAACTGTTGGCTTGGATGATTGAACCACTAAATGGTTCAGCCCGGTTAATGGTTTTCGGGTCATTTTTACTTTTTATTTTTTATTTTTTAAAACATCACTGGCTGATCCATTTGGACCAGACGATCGAACCGCTGACCTGAAAATCGGTGGCCAAAGCAGTTCCGTTTTTGGGCCAGTTTTTAAAACCTTGCTTAATTGGCTTAATTTACTTATCTAGATTGATTAGCTTTATTTATTTAATTTACTTAATAAACTTAGTTCCCTTAATTAATTTAATTTACTTAATCAACTTTATACCATCATAGACCTGAAGTAATTTACTTAATTAACTTTATTAAAGTGGCCTTTTCAAACTTGAGCAGTGCCACATAAGCATTCTTTTATTATTTTATTCATTGTTTAATGGATCTGTCAACAACGTCTCTAATGTCATCTGTTTTTGCCTTAAAGTGGCCTTTGCATCATAGTTTGAGGGCGAAAATGACCCTTTTAATTCTTTAGGGTGCCAAATTGGTTTTTTGGCAAATTTCAAGGGTTGTCAGAGTCAAAATCCATTGATTAACCATACATGTGTTGAAACAGTTAGCTTTCTGGTAAAGTCTCTGGCTGGTTATAGCAGTGACTTGGGAACAAATCCTGCCTTCACCAAATTACCAGGAATTGGGGGGGGGTGGGGGGGGGGTTAGGGTTGGGGGAAGGCTATCCCATGCTGTATGACCCATTTGCCTACCAACAAATATAAAAGAAAGAAATAATACTTGTTAATTAAACACATTCTTTTGAACTTATCAAGTGGACTCATCAGATGTGGCACTATTGAAAATGTCTATGAAAAATATATAGTATGCATCTTCCATACGAGTCATTCATGGTTTGGAGATTTCCCCTAGATTGATCCTGCTTCCCTGGATGTGTCATGCAACACAATTTGTATAATTTCCAACAATCTGCTCTATGAATTCCTTGGATTAGTTAAACTTATTTTCTTTGATGGTGATAGTTTTTCTATACCATGGCAACTTCTTATATAATCTTAGGTGTTAATAACTTGTGAATTGAAATCCAAATATCCAGGGTGATGTAATCAAAGAAGGGCAGACAATAGGATATTTGAATCAGTTTGGCAGTGAGCTTCCAGTTATGGTAAGATTGCAGATATACTTGGATAATTTCTTTATCCTTTGATAATTCCTGTACTTATGCCTTTTACCTTTTTGGAGCAGTCGGATGTGGCTGGGGAGGTACTCAAATTTTTATACAATGATGGTGGTAAGATTTCTAGTAACACATGAATGCCTTGTATGAGGTCAAAATTTATGGCTTAGATCTCTTCCAGGAGAAGTCATAAATACAACATATGCAGCACACTAGGATATACACCAAAAAATTAACCTGCATGGATGGTCATAATTGTCAAATTTTGTTCCTTGTCACCAAAGGTCTGTAATATGGGATTCTTATGACCATTTCAGGGTTTTTCCTCTCCTTTTGTACTAAATCTTGCAATGGGAGAATTAAACTTGGCATGAGTAAAATCTATTAAACAACATGGAGATATAAACCATGTAGACAAACCTATTTGGATGGCCATAGCGGTAGAATTGGCCAGTGTTTTCAGATACTATGATGAAACACTTCCTAGAAAGAATACAATAATTTGGCCTCCATGGTATCTATTTCAACCTTTTTCTTTTTTGCATTGATGTATCCCAAGTATCTCTTGCTAATTCTTGTCTCATCTTTGTGCAATTTACAGATGCAGTTGGTTATGGGGACCCTCTTGTTGCAATATTGCCATCGTTCCATGATATTAATATTAATTAAGTGCCATCCTCTTATCTGCTTTCTAATTTCTACATTTATCCATGGGTCATAGTATACTGGGTTATCAATTACTGTAACCCTTTTTTCTTATTTTTCCTTTTGCCTTGGACAATTAGAGACGGGAGGTGCACCTGGTGGATTTTACTAGCAGTTTCTTCCGTTGATCATTTTTTATTTTTGGGATTAGTTTAAAGTAATATACTTTGGTGATGCTATGTTGTTTGACTTCATTGGACGTTTTTCAGTATTGTTTGTTTAATTATTCGTACACAATGTTAACTATGGAAGAAGAATTGGAAAAACAAATCTTTCTCCCCACCCGACACATCTCGAAAGAGGAAACCAAAACATAAAAAAAAAAAAAAAGATGGAAGACGATAGAAGTTAGATTTCTTTTGGGGTTGGATTGAGATTTGGAAATTATTAACATCATCAAAGTTAAACTGTTGTACCATTATTTAGAGGGGTATCATAAGTTCATTTGAACACCTAATTTTAAATCATCAAATTTACTATCAAGGAATCCTGGAGCCTTGAGGCTCTGTTTGTTTTAATGTATAATGGGCGGATGGCTGAATTATTTGAGTTATATTTTTGTTCCTTTTGTAATGAAAACTTTTGTTTTCTTTGTCATTTACATTGAAACAAAATAGAAAGGGTGGAAAAGAAAATTTTCACTGTAGAAGCGACAGATATTATACATGAAATATTTCAATCTGAAAAATCATGTATCCATTTCACTGTAGAAAAGAAAGCTTTCACTGTTAGAAGCGACAGATTAGAATCAATTTTGATGCCTCAAAAGAGGGTAGAGGATAGATGTGCTTATGGATAATATGGCTAGAGATTATAGTGGTAAAGCTTGAGAGTGTCGATAGGACCCATTGGCATGACTCCCATTGCAGTGTCAGAAATGAGGGTTGAGCTTGAGGCCCCCCAAATTAGCAATATCATTGGGGGTGTCACCGGTCATCATCGAAGGCGATTCAAAGACAACAATTGAAGCTTTCAAAGGTTCGATCATTGCCTCGTGGAGATGTGATAGTGATACTATCCTGGAGGAATGCAAGAAAATTATAAGAGAGTCAGGAGTCCATGTTCATTATAATCGCGTGCATTTGAAGAGAAACCAAGCTACAGATTGACGAAGGTGAACCAGGTATCATCATTGAAGGCGATTCTCTTCTCGTGATTAGGAGTCTTCAAGGATGCTCGAAGTTACCATGGAAGTCTGCGTCGCCAATAGAAGAATGCTGCAGGATCACGAATCAGTTTTCAGGAAGATTAATGTACTCTCACACCAAAAGAGAAGGCAACAACGCAGTGGACTGGCTAGTGAACAAAGGTCAAAACCGAGAGTGCTTTGTTAGGGAATTTCTTGGGAATTAATTTTTAATTTTAATGAAAACATTTTGGGAGAACGACGGTTTAACCCAGCATCGTCAGAATTCTTAAGCCCAAAGTATAATTGGGGTAGGTGTTATCTCGAAATTGATGCTAATTTATGGATGGGCATTGATGTATAGGGTGTAGATATTAGACATTTTGAATTTTTGCAAATCTACAGTAAAATTCAGAATTTTGCACGACTATAGCTTAATTTTCTGAAATATTTCTCTATATAAAATAATATTAATGTTTTAAGTAGGATAAAATATAAAACCTTCCCTTAAGATTTCTCACCTTAACAAAAATCTCCCCCATGATTTTGCTAAAGTTGCAGTTAAATGAAGAGTTAAAAAAATCTGATGGTTTAACTTTACTGCAAAAAAAAAAAAAAAAAAAATGATGGTCTGCCTTCCAACCTACGATTAAAGTTTCCGTCAGGGCAAAGTCCGTTATAACAAGAAGATATTTCCGATGCATGATCGCAAATGCAGTTGAAACGCTGTGAACACGGTTTGACCTGAGGGAAGGAGATGTCGCCGTCTGCAGGGATTATTTCTGGTCTAACCGCAGAAGGCCAGAAGTCAGCACGATGACTTCATTTACCATAAAAAAACAAAGAACCATTACTACTAGACCAACTCAATGTCTCTTGACCTTTGGTCCTAACACGTAAGACCTGGTCCACCTCCAGCTCCAGTCGCGGAGTGCGCAATTGAAAATTACTGTTTTACTCTTTAAGTTTGATTGGAGATTGGAGAGTCTGAAGATGAGAGGGAATTTTTTCTAGTTAATAAATTCGTTAACTGAGGAGAAGGGTTATCTGTCAGCTTTATGCTTGAAGCATGCACCACGTTGTTACGGTTCAGCACAGGCTTAGCCTTGCCTACGCTTGGCAGGCTTACGTTAGGGACATGTCCGTCATTTTCGCCTGTAAGATTTTTGGGAGAACTGATGTCATCTTCAGGCAAACCACCAGAAGCTTAACGTACTCTTTGAGGAGGGG